TCAAAAGGAACCCCAAAAGCCTTGAGTGCCACACCCACAATGTCTCTTTAACATGTAACTAGAAACTCTCTAGCAGGCTAGGGTTTTCGGCAAAAATCAGCAACCTCACTTTCTTGGCAATCTACAGCCAGATTCAAACTCTCCAAACCCTCTACCAACTAGGCATAATTCTCTAAACAATCAACATATCTCTGCATACACTCTTCTAATTGAAGGGTGTATGGGAAAAGAAAGAAAAAACAAAAAAAGGGAGGAAGACTTACTCTGATACCAAGATGTGATTTAGTCCAATAAAATTCTGCAAAATAATTTCAGAATTAAGCAAAGAAAGAAAAGGAAGAGGAAGACAACAAGGAAAAGAAGAAGAAGATGAAGAAGGGAGAAAGAAAAAGAGTTCAATTGTCTCATCTTCTACCTCTCTTAACTTTTACTAATCTTACTAAAACTGATCAAATTACAAGTTTGCCCTTATGTGGGCGGCCAGCTCACCAATCTACTTAAAAAACATAAAAAAGGATTAATAGGCTCATAAAGGAAAAGCCCATTAACAAACAAAGCAGCTAGGAAGAACAATAATAAGACAATAATGGGACAAGGCCCATTCGGCCCAATATCTCTACACACACCCCAACAAATCTACTAACCTAAGGATTTCCCCTTCTTCCATATTAAGTCCAACCATTGCTTTAAAACACGGAGGTGTTACACGAGGTGTTCCACTACCTAGAGGCGTGGCGTAGTTAAGAACGTAAAAGGCGTAAGCCTCCCAAACAAGGAGTAAGCCTCCTTAAGAGGAGGGGGGACGAGGAGGAAGGAGGAGGAAGAAGAGGAAGAAAAATCTTGCTTTTCTTTATTTTTAATAAAAATATTTTATATTAAGAAAAATGAAGATGCATAACAATGGTTGAAAAGGGGGGCTGGGGGCCAAGGGGTCCGGGGGCTTAGCCCCTGGCCTACTTTCTTTGCTCTTATCTTTCCTTCCCTTTCCTTTTCTTTCTTTTTTTTTTCTTCTCTTTCTTTCTTTTTCTTCCCCTTCCCTTCCCTATTCTTTCCTTTCCTTTCCTTTCTTTTTTTCTTTCTTTTATTTTTCTATCAAGGCGTTTTGGGGGCGCCTCCAGGCGTATGCCTCCCACGCCTTTTAAAACACTGATTCCAGCTATACAACTTTTCCTCTAGTTGACCCTTAGGCTAGAGACCCATTCAAAATTATCAATCAAACCCTCCAAGTTCCTTAGTAAATCTATTGGATCACACCCTTCACAAAACAAGATTGTGTCATCAGCAAATTAAAGATGGGAGACAACGACCTGATTCCTTCCAACCATCTAGCCTCTAAACAATCCTTGCAGATCTGCCTTAACAATCATTCTACTTAAGACCTCTGCAACCGAAGTAAAAAGGAAAGGGCACAATGGATCTCCCTGCCTAATCCCTCTCTTGGCAGGAAAGAAATCTCTTGCAACTCCATTAATAAGAACTGAATATCGCATTGAGATCACACAACCTTCAATCCATAATCTTCACCTTGCACCAAATCCAGTTCTAGATAGAGCCTCTAGTAGGAAATTGCAATCAACTAAATTATAAGCCTTTTCTAGGTCCAAATTACATATCAGATCCTTCTCACCACCCATCCTTTTCACTATAACACTCTCATTGGCCACCAAGATTTGATCAATAATTTGTCTTCCTTCCACAAAAGCTCCTTAAAATGGAGAGATCACTGAGGGTAAGACCAATTTTACTTACATAACCTTTGAGATAATCTTATAGAGGCTCCCAATCAAACTTATTGGGGTATAATCCTTTGGGGTCCTTGACTCCTTTGGCACCAAGGAAATAAAAGTGGCATTAGTCCATGGAGAGATCTCTCCTTCAAGATGGAATTCCTCAAACACTACAGAGGTCATCTTTCAAAATCTCCCAACACTCGGGGAAAAAAAAAAAACCATGGAAAAACCATCCGGTCCAGAGGCTTTAGACCTTTCCATTGAAAAGATTGCTTTCTTAATCTCCTTAATCGAATTTTTGTTTTTAAATTTGAGATTGCTTTTCTGAGATTCTATCCCAATCCAAGTCTGGGAGAGTTAAGTTTGTTCCCCTTGAGGCTAAGAATATCTCCTTGAAATGATTCACAAAAATCCTAATGATCTCTCATTCTTCCTTTATTTCTTGACCCTCCACTTTTACAGTAGAGATGGTGTTTTTCCTTCTTCCATTTGCAAGTGAGTGAAAAATTTTTGAGTTTCCATCCCCTTCTAATAGCCACTTACATTTGGACTTTTGTCTCCAACTGGTTTCTCCTTTCCTCACGGTCTCTTCTAGATTTAATTTCAGACCCCATCTTTCCACTCTATCCTCCTCTATCAACAACCCTTGAGATTCTCTTGCATCCAAGACTTCAATCCTTGAACATATAGATTCCAGAGTTTCTTCTAATCTTCCAAATTATTCTTTGTTCAACACTTTTATTTTCTCTTTCAGCCTTTTTAGTTTTCTAGAGAAACTTACAACTTTCCTCCTTTCCAAAGGCCCACACTCCCCCACCACTCTCTAACCTTCTTCTTAAAAGAGGGATCTTCCAACCATATGTTCTCAAATCTGAAGTGCAAGGGGCCTCCAAAATTAGATTCTTTTCTCAATACAAATGGGACAATGATCTGAAGTGACTCTGGGAAAGGCTCAAGAGGCCAAGGTCCCCCACAAAGCATCCCAATCAACTGAAAAGAGGAATCTGTCTAACTTGGAGCAAGTTGGGGGAGGCTTACTCCTCCTTGTGTTCGGGAGGCTTACGCCTCTTACATTCTGAACTATGCCTCATGCCTCTAGGTAGTGGAATGTCTCGTAGGGCTGCAAGTCGGGCCGGGTTAGCTCGGGTTGAGGCCAACCCTAGCCCAACCCTAACCCTAACCCTAACTAAATTCTTTCAACCCTAACCCAACCCGAAGTTAATTTCGGGTTGGGCCCAACCCAACCTTCTTCCCATCCCTTAAAATCTCATATAATTTCTCAATTTTAGATCTTAACTCAACTCTCACTACATATATTAGTCCTATGTTTCATTGATACTTGTTTGTTGACATTTTTTTTTGTTCTTTCGGTACAAAATTCAGAAAAACAAGTGGCAGAAATGACTATAGTTTATTATGAGTTATGACTTATGGTAGATCTTTCTTAGGCGGCAAACAACATAGAGGAGATGAAGAATAAAATTTTCAAAAAACATAAAATAATGTTATTAAGGTTTTAGTCTTTCTTATTAGAATTAAGTGAAGTGATTATCTTAAAAGAAATACATGATACTATATGGTGGGGGCTATACAAATATCATGCATCTAAACAAATCAATGTATGTTATATATTACATATAACATATATTTATATATGACATGTACTATAGAGTCAGGTTCGGGTTGGATCGGGTTGGCTAAGGGGTCAACCCTAACCAAACCCGAAGTAAAGTCGGGTTAATGAATTTCAACCCTAACCCTAACCCAAACATCAACCCGACCCAACCCAATTGGGTTGGGTTAGGGTTGGGTTCGGGCCAACCCGGCCCAAGTTGCAGCCTTATATGTCTCGCATCATGCCTCCACATTTTAAAACATTGGCCCTGATTTGGATTATTTGATTCCCTGAGTACCACATTAAAGTCACCTCCCAAACACCATGGACCTTCCCATAAACCTCTAATGGTTAATAATTCCTCCCAGAAGGATTTTCTATCTCTATAAGAATTGGGACCATAGACATTCTCCCATTCTCTCCCATCAATGGATCTTTTGATTTTGATAGATACTGAAAATTGGCCTATGAGTTCCTCCAAATATTCTCTTTCCTTATTTTTCCACATTGTGAGAATTCTCCCAGAGGATCCCCAAGAGGGGGCAAAAGTCCAATTGAGACCCCTACACCCYTAGATACTTCTAATCCATCTTCTATCTATTTCTGACAGCTTAGTCTCTTGAAACATAACTAAGCCGGGCCTTTCTTTCCTGAGGGCACTCCTGAATTCTGTTGTTCTTCAGATCAGTCCTGATTTTCTTTTAAATTTATATACCCTTGGTTCAAAGCTATATGGTTGGGGCATTTTGCAAAGTGCAAATTTCACAAGTTTCTTCTCGTATTTGTTCAACTCATGTACTCATTTTAGCTAGAAACAATGAAAAGAAGCTGGTTACTTGAGTGAAACCTAGAGGCTATGTATGACAGATAGATTGACAACAGAACTTTATTGGACCATGTGATAGATCTCCTGACATTTTGTTGATTTGTGTATCAATGCATCCCCATTATTAGAACTATGATAGCACTTCAGGAGGGATACACAACCTGAGCTTGAAACAACTGGCGTTATGTGTAGAGATAATGGGCTGAATGGGCCTTAGTTTCTTTGTTTTTCTTTATGTTTATGACTTGTGTTAGTAGGTAGTGGGCCTTAGTTATGGGCTTGTTTTCTCTTTTTTTATTGTTGTCTTTAGTGTTGGACGCCCCACTAAGGGCACTCATTTAATTGCCCTTATTTTAACAACAAAAGAATAAAAGAGATCATTGGGGGCTGAAGAGAGGTTAAGAACTATTCTCTCTTTTTCTTCATTTTCTTCCATCTTCATCCTCCATCACTTCTCTCTTCAATCTGCTTCTTTTCTCCTGTTTCTTTTCTTTTAATTCAGATTATTGTAGGTGTGATTTACAACTTTATGTAACGCATGCACTAGATAAAATCTGTATAAAGTGCAATCATGCCTTTACTAAAATATGCTTATGCAGTCCAAAATGACAAAAAACATATTGCCACCCCAAGTAAGACAAACATCTAGCTCTTTATGTCAGTTTAGAAGACAATCATCAGTTATACCAAATTACCAATACCCTTAAACGCAGTCACAAATAACAGAAATCATATAGACTACAAGGAAGATTTAACCCATCAGTAAATCTACTTATAGACCACTAAATCTAGAGCCATCCAGGTCTGAACTCTGAAGAATTAAATTTACCTGTGAGATTGTCACAACAAATGCACATCTGCTTAGAAAATCAGGAGGGTCTTCTGAAATATAAAGGCTTTGAAGAGGTAAGCAAAAGCCACAGAGCATTCCTTGCTTGCTCAGTTCATGGAGGAAGAGTTCTCCCATTCCATCATTCTCCTTTTTGATGCCCTGTATTATTACTTGTATGTAGTGGTTATTGATTGAAAAGAATGTAAGCATACAATTTCAAGTCATCATTGTATTCTTTCATTAGTTTACCTTGAGTTTTTCTCTTTGAGAGGAAACTGAAGCAATCATACTGCCTACTGCTGAAGAAATTAAACTTGCTTTCACCTGGCATATCATATCCTTTATTTTATATCCAAGTCTTTGAATTAAACTATTAAGTAAAAAATATAACTGAAAACAAAGTGGGATTATTAGCTAACAAATGGAAATTTGATCATTCCAACTAATTGAACTAAGCTAATTGAGGAACATGGTACCTTCTCTTCTGCAAGGACCCCTCAACTATTAGCCCAAAATCCCATATGCCAAATTACTTCTATGTTCATAATTTTAGCTCTAGACAAGGTTCTATTTGCCAAGTTTCTCCAAGCATGCATACGTGATGAATAGATTTATATAACCACAAGTAATGAATGTATCTACCAAAATATCTATACTATCGGAAATTTTAACGTATTAACTCACTTTAACTCAATTTTGAGAAACACAATGTGGATACACAAGAAATTAAATGAAATTTTCATATAAGGCCTTAAGGAAAACTTGTTAATTATTGTTTTGTTTTCTGATTGATAATAAAGTCAAAGAATGTTTTTAAACATAAAGGAATGATGTGAAGTGTTCCCCTATCCTAAGGGTGAGGTGTAAACTAGAATGCAAAAGGGTTAAGCCCCTCAAGCATTGGTTTTTTAATTAATAAAACTTACAAATAAAATAAAATAAATAGGAAAAAAGAGTAAATTTCAAGAAAAGGGGGGAAATAAGGAACATCAGAAAAAAAAAATCACATTTGCAATTTCTAACGGCAAAGCATCACGTTCAAATATAGACACTGATAACCAAACATGATAATCTCCTATAATGGTAAAGAGCAATGCCATTCGCAGTCCTCCAAAATTTAATAAAGCTATTGTTGTACAGAGAAAAATATACCTCAAATACAAATAAATATGTAAGTATTAATACAATCTAGGTAGACCCAAGTTGATATATCAAAGCAAATATATCAATGGAAGATAATATTTATACTAATTAATTAGATTTAAAACTTCCAAAGACTCCAGGTAAAATCAAATTTCTAAAGATACAATATCTGTGTTTGCTCCAGCTTAACAAAATTGAGATGATAATAAAATTTGGAATTCTTCACAAACAAGTAACTTAGACTGAACAATTAAATTTTTTTTCAAATCTCTTACATGCTGAATAAGAAAGGTTTCAACAAATTTCAACATAATTACCTTACATGCTGATTTCAACTTCAATGTAATTAGACATCTCAATATCTGCAGTTGTCCAATACAGGCAAGAGACTCAACCCATGGTTCCCATAATGTTTCAACAAATTTGGCCTGACCAACAAACAAAACAAATTAGTGTAGTGCAAATTGGACCATACTTGTAACACAGCTAAGTAAATTTCTATATGTGAAATTGAGAGTGGTAAGGTGAAATTGGTAATTTAATCACAGACTGAGAGTTTCAAACTAACATCTTGATGTGATAAGGAAATACTAGTCTACATTATTTTTCTATAATAGAATAAAGAAACTTTTTTATTAGATGGAGGATACTAATAAGAAAGGTTTTAGAGAACCCTCCCCAAATAAATGCCTAGGTGCGGCCACGCAAGATTTCCCTAGAAGATAAACAATACGCTAGATCTCATATCAAACCATAGGACCTTATTGGCACTTCATCGAAGGTAGTGTCCCATTGTGATTAGGAATGACAATAGGGCGGGGATCATATTCCCTGTCCCTGACCCCGATTCTGAAATTAACCCCCGTGTCGTGCTGGGCTAGGGGTTTGAGATCCACGAGCCGAGCGCGACCCGCCCGGAATATAGCCGTTGCCCCCCCCCCGCAACGGCTAGTTTCAGCTTTTTGGGGGGGTGGGTTTACAGAAATGCCCCCTCAACAACTATAAACAGCCATATTAGGGGGGTATTTATGTATTTTGCTTATGGGGGGTTGAAAAAATGACATAAATGCTCCCCTAACAGGTATATAACAACTAGTTTAGGGGGGCTTTTTGGGTAAAGTTATAAATAACTTTACAATGACCAAAATATCCCTCCCAACAACTAAATAACAACTAGTTTTTTGGGTATGTTGGGCAATTGAATTATGTTCAATTCCTATAAATAGCCCTATCCTCCACCAATCTCATCACACCAATTCAACAATTGTCTTAATCTCTTATCTCTCTCTATCATACTCATACATTCTCAATTCTCTGCAATCTGAGTAATTCTAATTAGCTCATTGTCAGATTCTGCATTCTCCAATTCTCAAGTCTCAACTTTATTAAAGTTTCAACTTTCAACAAGAAGAAGGCTTGCTCAACCAGCTCAAGTATCTCAATTTGGGAGGCTTAGATGTTGAAAGGCTTCAACCGTTGAAATCAAGTTGGGATTTTGAACTGGCAATCCGGGTAAGTTGAAATAGATTAATTTTTATCTTTTTAGAATTAAAAAAAAAGGCCGGTTCTTCCGAAAACCAATTCCCCAACATGTTCACCATTGATGATATTCAATTGCATCATGATAGTGTTAGCACTGATCCGATTGATATCAATGGAAGTGGAACTTTCACCCCTAGTACTGATACTAGGGGAAAAAGGAAGGCCTCTAAGTTGAGTAGCTCGGTTTGGAAAATTTTCAAAGTAGAGGATATTGGGGGGAAGGGGAAAATGGCAGTTTGCCAAAAATGTAGGAAGGACTTTAGTTATTGTAGCAAGGGTGGTATGGGTCATTTGAGCAAACATCTGCTCACACATGAGAAGAAAGAAGATGAAGGGAGAGAAGCAACTCAAACACAAATTGGGAGGGGGAGTAGTTTTGGTACTTTTAAATATTCACAAGAAAAAATGAGACAAGAATTAGCTGAGTATATTGTACATGCAGAACAACCATTTATATTAGCTAAAGATCCAAAGCTTGAAAAATGGTTGCACAATTCTGTAAACCCACAATATAAAAATGTTTCTAGGAATACTATTAGGTCGGATGCTTTAAAAACTTTTTATTCATATAAATAAAATTTAATTTCTTTGTTATCAAATCTTAATTCTAAAGTTGCAATTACTTCGGATGTTTGGAGATCCAAATTTAATATAAGTTATATTTGTGTTACCGGGCCCTTTCATTGATGAAAATTGACTTTTGAATAAAAGAATTTTAAGTTTTACTAGGCTTGAAAGGCCACATACTGGCCCAACTATTGCTGCAAGTAATTTAAATACTTTGCATGCTTATGGATTATTTTCTATTAGTTTTGATAATGCCAGCAATAATAATTCTGCAATAAATATTTTAAAATCTCAATTAAGACCATGCTTAAATGGTAAATTATCTCATATTAAATGTGCATGTCACATCTTAAATTTATGTATTCAAGATGCCTTGAATATTATTTCTACTCATATTTCTAAAATTAGAAATTTTATTATATATATTAAAATTTCAGGGGCAAGAAAACAATAATTTAAATATTTATGTCAAAATTATGGTTTAAAATATAAACATTTTATATTAKATGTRAARCATAGGTGGAATTCTACCTATGCTATGTTAGAAAGTTGTATTTCTCATAAACAAATTCTTACTAATTTTTATAATTCAAAAATGCCTAATGATATGATAGTTGAGGAAGACTGGGAAATGGCAGTCTGTATAAGAGATTTCTTAAAACATTTTTATGATGCAACAAATGAATTATCAGGAATTTATTATCCAACTAGTTGTAATTTACCTTATCAATTAATGGTAATTAGTGCTTGTTTTGCAAAATATAGAAATAATCCACAATTTCAATGTATTGTTAAAATAATGGAAAATAAAATTTAAAAATATTGGGAGAACATTTCTCCCTTTTATTGTTTAGCTACAATATTAGACCCTAGGATTAGGAAAGATGGTTTAGATATTATTTATCAAAAAAAAAAAAGATGGTTTAGATATTTTACTTGAATCATATTGTGAAAATATGAATATTGATATAGGAAATAAAAAAGAAGAAATTAATAATTTGTTATTTGAAATGTATAGTTTATATGAATCTGAAGTTGTAGGAAATATTCCTACAACTTGTACAGCATCTTCTACTTCTGACCTTGAGCCCAGTAGTAGAATAGAAACTTTTTTTATTTAATAAGTAGAAGGCAGAAATCTGCTACTTCTACAAGTTCATTTACTGAACTTAATTTTTATTTACAAGCAATTTTTTCTAATTTAGGTGAAGGATCAAATAATTTTGATATTTTAGCCTGGGGGAGTGAACATTTGAAAAATTATCAATTCTCGCCGCCATTGCACGTGATCTACTAACCCCTCCGGTGTCTACAGTTCCACCGGAGTCTTGTTTTAGTGAAGGTACCAGGGTGTTGGATGACAAGAGAAGCTGCATGAACAATGAAAGCATAGAGATGTGCATCTATTTCAAGGATTGGCTATGCAGAAGATAGATTAYAAGGCAAAGGAGGACATGATACTATACCAGATATTTCACCTGAAGCAGATGATGAAAGTCATGATTCGTGAAGTTGACTACTTGTATTGAATTTTTTATTTTTTCAAATTATGGTAATTTTTTTTTTAATTTTTTTTTATTTATTTGATTTTTTTTACTTTTTTAACAATGTAATTTTGTATTTCCAATTTGCAACTATATTGTATTTTTTTTATATTTTATTAATTTATTCCATTTTCATATTTTATTCATCTAAGTATCCAATGATCCAATCATTGTATTTGTAATTTGTACCATTCAAATTTAAATGAAATAAAACTCCTATTTTTCTTCCAATTTGTTATTGCATCATTCTTATTTCAATTTGGTTAAGTATTTTATTTCCATTTATGTGTTAGATAACTTAGATTTCTCATTTCTTAATTTTTTAAATAGTTCCAAATTCCCAAAGTTCAAAGAAAAGTTAAATATTTTAGTTTTACAATTTTACTTAGAAAAGAAATCAAAATTTACAAAAAAACAAAAGAATAAAAAAATAAAAAAAAGCAGTGTAGCCCGATTCAGCCTAAGTCCCAAGGCTGCCCTGTGGCCCAGCACGGCACGACCTGTAGTCTGGCCCGGCCCAGGCCCACAGCACGACACGGCATGGGCCCACATGGGCCTGGACTGTGGGCCATACCAGGCCGACCCCCAAACTTTCCACCGGGGAGGGCGACACGGCCCATGACGACCCATGGGCCAGCACGGCATGGCCCGCCTTTTGCACGAGCTATGTCGTGACGGCCTGGCACGACCCACTTTACAACTCTACCCCATCCCCGTCCCCAATCCCCGCCAAGGTAAAAATTTGTCCTCCATCCCCGATCCCCAACGGGGATGGGTTCCTCGTAGGGACCCGAATCCCCAAAATTATTTTAGATATCAGTATTTTAAAAGAAATAAAAATTTTAAATTATAAATAATGTTTTAAATATATTTTGATATATATATAATATAAATAATATAATAATATATATTTAACATATATATATATGTATGCATGTATGTATGTATGTATGTATGTATATATGTATAAATATGTATGTATATACATAATCGGGGTTGGGGCGGGGTGGGGGCCTTAATCCCCACCCCCGACCCCGACCCCTATCAGGGGTTCCTATTAATCCTCGTCCCCGTCCCCGTCCCCATCCCTGACCCCATTAGGTCGGGGAAGTCGGGTCCCCATCGGGAATGGGGAAAATTGCCATCCCTAATCGTGATTAAGATATTTGTAGAGTCTCGAGACAACTGGAATAGAAGAGGTAAGAGATATAGAAACAGGCAGCATATGATCATCATAATCAGACAGTTATTGAATGTGCAAAAAATGGCTTTCAAGAGTATGAGGTGGAGATGACTTGGTTGAAGTAAATGTCACGGATGTAAATTTTAGTTTTAAGAAGAGTTCCGATGTGGACAGCACAGGTGATCATGAAAGAATGGTAGTTTTTAATAGAAAAGTTTTAACAGATTGAAGAGGGGCTTATTTGGGATTGAACCGAATAAGAAAGTGAAGAAAATTAGGAAAGGTAATAAGGAAAGTTAAAAGCTTTTACAACAGGGGATTTGGAGGAGTAGGTCCATTCTCTTAGTTGCGGGTGTTTCTTTGTTTCAGTAGAAAGTGTTGAGGAAATGACCACTGTTTGGAGAAAACATGTGTTGCTAGGGGTTGAGATATTTTTAATTTGTATCTGTTTCTTTTTCTTTTGGCTGGGATTCTTTTATCTTGGGGTGTTCTGTTGGGGATTGGGTTTGTAACATCTGTTTTGAGGGAATTTCTTCTGTTTCCAGGTTATCTCTCATCTTAAAAAAAAATGTTTTTTAATATAAAAATTGCA